TCCCCTCTTTTTTTTCCACTTGTTTCTAGAGTATACAAGTTGCCCCTGCCATCCAATCACTTTTTAAACTAGGAATTTGTCTTTCTATTTGTCAGCGTGCTTGTCAGTAACATGCAAAAAGAAGAGCATGTGTTAGCATAGGTTATTCAGACTGTTAGCAGTCCACTTCTATTGGTGAGAACATGTTTCCTTTTGCTTATCTATATTTGCATCAAACAAAAAACTTCTAAGAAATAGAAGCATTTCTGTGGTTAGACAAAGCACATTTCATATTCTGGCTACTGCATCAGTTGAAGACTGAGAATTGGTTACATTCTAGTGAAAGATCAATTTATGTTCAACCAGTTGGTATCTAAAAGCATGAATGTACTCTTTGCATATTATGCATACAGTTCACTAGGTAAGATTTTTTATGCCTGAAGTGTTAATGACCCTTTGAAGAGAGTATTTTTGCTGGAGGTTTTCTGTTGGTGTCTGTATAGCTGCAGAACCTGCAGACTAGTTGCATTTTACTAGATGTGTGCAGATTTCTCATTCAGCAACAAGCACTGTCATGCTCGGAGAATCTGCATTCTTACCCCTGAGCTTGGCTCTGTTGCTGCTGGAAAGATTCATGAAGGAGTCTGTAGTTAATACTTCAATACTCCTGTGAATTATTATGTTAATGATAATTATTTCTATGAATTTTATAAGAAGATACGGGAAAACTATTGGAGGTGCTTCTCTTCAGGCAGATACACTTAATTATGCTAGTGGCCTTATTTATAATATATTGGTCAGTAAATGTCAATTCTCTAAGATAGCATTAAAAGCTTTACTTTTGGTCTGAGTTTTTTCTTTTTTTTTTTTTCCTTCAAATTAATATTGACATGAAGAAAGCCTCTAACTAGGATTCATGTTTTTTTTAAAAGCCAGAGCATTATTTTTTTTTTTCCTCAACATTTCCATATTCTAACTGTTACTTGTATTGAACTCTGCTGGTATCAGTAAAGTTCAGAAGTATATATTCACAATCAGGAAATCTTTCCCAAGCAGTCTTCCTGGTCATAGCAATACATTATTCTATAGTTTAAGTGGATACATCTGTTGACTGAAAAATTTCTATGTTATATTCTACCAAAGGTGAGATTTTTCCTGTCTAGCAATTCTTTCAGTCTTAGCATGAATCCTCTTCATCCTCTCTAAAGAACTGATTGTTTTCCTTTCCCTCAGGATTTCAGTTGTTCTCGTTGGTGAGATTTTCAGTATTATCAAGGGAAAAAGCATAGCTTTTTCCTTGGGACTGACATGTACCAAACCATCCAAATAAAATGCTATATTGTTCTTTGGCCATGAGAGCAGTGGGCATATATGGTGTGGGCTGGTTGCTCTTGTTTAATATTTATATAGCATCTGTGCCTACATGGGCTTCTGTTCAGTGTCTGGTTTAAGTAATTGAAGTAGATTGTTAAATTCCAGGTACAAAGAAAGAGAAAAACCCTGGCGATCAATTTGTCACTGGGAAAGGCATTTTCTTTTAGGTGTAATATAAATCTGTTTCTCACTGGTGTTATACCAATATTCATTATGTTTCAAAGGAAAGTACAGAAACAAGCAGGACAGCAATAGAAAGCTGTGTTGTGAAAGATGTCTTCCTTATCTGGTAGAGACAGGCACCTGCCTTAGAATGCCGGATGTTTCATTTCTCTGGTTTTTAGGACAGCAATTTTGGAAACTGACACAATAACATTGGGGCAGAATTTTGTTACTGACTTGACTGAAGCACTAGAGATCACTAGTGCAGAGCTCTATGTTTATAATTTTAAACATGTCTTAAGTAACCTTTATAATTAACTTCAATGTGGTTGAGATTTCAGCCTACATATAGGCTGCAGCTTCATTTATAGTTTCAATGTAGTTCAGAAGGAAGCATTAGAGTTCTTTGTAATAAAATAATCTTGTAGTTTTTTTACAGTCTAGTGTCTTTCCATGTTACTGGTCAGCTATATTGTCAATAATGTAAATGGAGGATAGGTTTAGTGATATTTTGTAACACAGGCCAATATGAGCAATTCTAAGACATCAAAACTGCCCTATTCCTTAGTTTCTGTGTGTAATTTCTTCAAAGCTTTGGGTGGATTACAGCCAGTTTCACACCAGCCACTACATGTTTTCTTCCCAGGATATTTTTGCACCTTATTTAAGGTGAGATTTGAGGCTTATGCAATACTGACTTCTTTCCCAAGCCCTACTGAAGATACCTGCATAAAGTCCACTGAGTTACTCTGCGCGGTGTATTTTACAGACATTTCTCTTCAAAGGAGAAACTCTGAGGCTGATGATTAGGAGGGGAAAAAAAAAAATCACTAACCTCTTTGCATTGGGCAATCTAGTTCAAATAAACCTGTGTAAGAAGTTGAGACTTGCGATGGTGGTTTCTCAGTATTTACAAAATCTGCTAGTGTGGGAAATTATAGGCAGATGAGAGTGAGAAGGTAAGAGAAGGTGGGACAGTCTGGAGGGGGACAGTGTTTTTTTCCTTTGACTGTGACAGTCTCGTTGCAGAAATGGCTCCGCTTCATGCAGAACAATTACTGAACTGATTCACTTCACATTCTAGACGGTTACAGTACACTGTCATGAATTTTAGGTTACTGTAAAATGCTGGATCGTGGTTCATGAACAGCTGGCAAGAACTGGAACTCCTCTAGCAGTGGTTGCTTGGGAATTGGGACTGTTCACCTCATGAGTCACTCTGAGAAGCATGTAGAATTTTCTTGGGTAGGCATATTGTAAGGTTTATTTTCCTTGCTTCATTTCACTGTGTAGCAAGTCACAGGTGGCATACCAAAGCTGGCATACTGATAACAAGAGCTGTATCTAACATGGTAAATTGATACGTGTAGTTTAAGTGTAAGCTGTTCAGGAGTCTCTCATTGGGTGTGTAAACCAGTGATGGCTGGCAACTGTTTTTTACATTAAGGTATTACTAAGACTGGTTTGCTGCTTCGGTTCACGCTTAAATTTGAAGGAATCTCATCATATTCCTACAGTTACTTTTTTGAAGTATTTGTGAATTTTAATTAAAATTTTACTTTCCCCCAATACTTACTTACTTTGTTAACCAAACATCTTGTTTGAATCGAACTGGAACAGATTGCCTGGTTTATTTCAGTTGACAGTACTTAATCTAGATAAAGTTCAGCATTTCACTGATGGAAAATAAAAGGTAACATTGTAGGCGTATCAGAGTTTGGCTACAGCATAAAAATCAAAGAACTAATGTTTCCCAAGCACATGCAAGTGCTGTATTACTGAAAAGTTGCTGTTCAAGCTTTGAAGTGGGACAGCATACATGATGCGTGACCTTTGGAAAATACACAAAAATTCTGTGGAAAGAGAGGGTATTTTAAAACTTGTGTTATTAACTGTATTTCATGTACGTATAGTGCGTGCTAGCACAGATGTGCTAGTTAGGTCTTAAAAGCTAGCAATGCTTTTTGTTTTTCTTACATTTAAGCCTCACATGTTTGTGTATGTGTCTCTGTTACCTTTTCATGTTATAGCTTGAGACTCTGTGATAAGATTATCTGAAATTAACTTGTAAGAGGGATGGGATGTGCTCAGGTTTATCTCTGAATTCAGTTTCACTGATTGGTAGTCTATTTTGAATTTCACATCTACATCTCCTCCTACCCAGCTTTTCTCTCTTACCACGGACCTTACATTTCAGAAAGCTGATCCATCCTGCAGTGTAAACGTTGTGATTTTTGTTTTACATGGTACATAAAAATGCACCTAATTTTGGGGAAAAAAAAAGATGGAAGAGAGAATTCTATCATCAAGCCACAACTTAAGCTGGCATTCTGTCCAAATTTCTTTGCCCCACTAGTACCCGGTTTTAAATTAAATTTTAAGGAATTAAAGAATTTCAGATTAGGACAAGTGCAGTTTGGCTATTGCAGAATCACAGTATGGTTGAAGTTGGAAGGGATTTCTGGAGGAAATTCTTGCCCAACCTCCATTTTTAAATGCACATTAAGCTGCTCAGGACCATGTTTGGATGGCTTAAATAATATAAATAATATATTGGTATAAGTATATAAACAGTTCTCATTCCATGAAGTTTAAAAAAAAATACTTCTGTAATTTTTTTAAAATGTCTTAAGAAGTTATTTCCAAGGTTGAATTTTTACAGATAATTTAGGTTTTCATTTAAATAAGTAACACTTCCTAAAGCTGTAAAAACGCATGATGATGTGTGTTGTTACAGTGCATCTTAGAACTATAGATAAATTTCTTACAGAACAAACTTTTCTTAAGATAATTATGCTACATATTTATTAATGTCAGCTTGTACTAAGTTCTTAGTAATGTGTTTGTGTATGTATGTATGAGTCTGTTAGGGTTATACGTTACCTCATACACAAATGCATTAGTTAGTGAATTCACATGTGTATGTATATATAGAAAACAGAAAACAACATCTTATCTTTGCTGGGTTGCTAATAACGTAATGAACAGCTTATAGAAGGAAAAAAAGTCAGTGGCTCTTGATATAGAGAATTCATACTTAGATACATGTAGGTAGCACATTTTTTTGAAGGTTGTGTAGATACAGAAGACACATGGCCCCGTGCCAAAGTATGCAAATGCATATATGTATTTTTCAAATGTTTCATTTTTTTACCTTTTTTTTTTTTTTGTGATTCATCCTCCAGGAAGCAAGCATGAGCTGTCAATGAGCATAGCTTTTCTGGCTCAGTGAGAGAAGTACGATGTAGAAAATACCTCAGTCAAACACATACTAAAAGAAGGAGGAATGCGAAAATAATGTGTGCATCTGTTACTGTTTTGTGATACTTAGTGCTGGTAGTAACAGATTTAATCTGCAATTTACATTAAAGTGTTTGATATTTTTAAGGAAACAAACATCCCTGTTATGTTTTTACATATTTCTTGCATGAAAGAGCATTAGTATTGTTGAGAAGTCTTAAAATTAAACTTTGGTTTTTATTTAGGTCTATGAGTTAGATGGCATCCCCTTGATCCTGGACAACTGCAGCATTGATGACAACAATCCTTGTATCCTTTACAAAATAATTCTAGTTATTGAATATGAATATTAAAAGATGTGGGGGGTTAATATATTTATGCCAGCACTGCTTTCTCTTGGTACCTGAGTCAAACCGGCCTCATGAGTTTCTAGGTTGTATTTAAATGTTTGGTTCACATGTGAGCAAACTCATAAATACGCTTTCAAGAACTGGACTCTTAAGTAAGTTAAACTGTGGTTATATTCTGTTTCCTAAAATAAGACGTATTATTGCTTTACAGATGTCAATTCAGAGACCAAACTGATCGAAATCTGAATTAGAACTTTAGTCATGTAATCAGATCTGGGAGAACTTACTCTAAGCACAGAGACAAGACTGGCAATCTATAATGAAAATATTTATAATTAAGAGAATTAATGATGCACATTACTGAAATGTTGGGGAGATTTTAATATAAATGCTGTTGTGCTTCATATTTGGGATTTTTTTCCCCTGAGGTTTAAGACTTTCCAAGATAGGTTGTTGTTAGAGGGAAATAACTTCATATTGAAGATAAACAGTTGTTAAGCAGATGTGTCCATCTCTTCGTGAACTGCGTAGTAGTAATACTGCTGGTATCACTGGGGGAGCTATTATTTTCTGTCATCTAATCATTAGCTCCTTGTAAGTTTCTGATAAGTGCATCTGGAAATCAAATGCCTTTCCTGTCTTGAATACTGCCAGCTTTTTTATACTGAACAGATGAAAAAGGTTTCTTGAATTACTTTGTCAGGAAAAGTTTGCTTTTTAACAAGTGTTATATAAAAAAAAAGGTGGTGAAAATGTTGCATATCCTCCTTGCTGTAGAACATAATCTACATAAAAATACATGTTAGAAGGATGAAATAACGTAGGGATGTATGACAGCAAAATGTTAACAAGCTGTGTGGATGAGCAATGGGTGTTAACTATTTTCTTAGTTACTGTGTTATTTTACATGGAGGGTTTTTAGATTGGTCACTATTCCTCTGGTTGGAGACCTGACAGTGTGGCTCTTAACAGGGCTAAGTAGCATAGTTGGACCTCCACAGAATGATTCTGGTAAGGAACACTGGTGGATGTGATGGGAAGGGCAGGGAAAGTTACCTTTCCTTAAGCTGAAGAGCAGCCCTGAAAAAAAACTAAGGAGTTTTGATCCTGAGTTAGTGCTCCTTTGCTGGAAGGCAGAGCTGTGCAGTTACTTTCTTCCTAGGATTAATCCTTCATTTTAGCTGTCAGTAAAAAAGGCCTACAAAGGGTAGAGTTGTAATTTCCAATCTTGAATAAACTGAAAATAAAATACCATGGGAGCCTTTACTGTATTTTGGGCAATGTGAAACTTCTTATACCTTATGATACAGGCTGATGTTTTATGGCTGAACTATAAACTTCTTACCAGAAGATAAAACTTTGATTACTTGGTTTTTAAAGACTTACTAGATGTAATGACACCTCTGAATATGAGCTTTCACCACTGATCCATAGCATACAGTATTTAGGTATGTGAAAAAGTAAGCAGCACTTGGGCAAAGGAGGGACTAGCCTGATGTAACAAAGTTTGCTGCATCAGCTTTTGGAGCAAAGCTTCTGGCTACTATTCATTTATCGTTTTCACCTAGAGCTATTCCAGGTGCTCGTGCTACACAAAGTTAATGCTACCCTGCTTCTCTCCTACCTCTAATGTTTCTAATCTGCTGCCTTCTCAGCATGTCTCATGCAGGGAAGCAGAAGAGGAGTCCACAGTTTGCATCTGTCTCTACTTTAATCTGCTTTGCAGCATATTCTGCTCCTTCTAGACACCAAAAATCAAATCCTTAGTAGCATGCAGGTGTCTCATGCCATTGCATAACATTGCTCTGAAGAGATTTGACTGTTTCTCTCCTCCCTCTGTGCACCCAGTCCTGTCTGTCACAAATCCATTTTGTGATGCTTGTAAACCAGAGCAGTGGTCTTAGTAAGATTGGAAAGCCTACTTGTTTAAAACTAAAACACCTTGAAATTGCCCGTGTTACAACTTTCTGATCCAGAGTGAATATATTTTGTCACTTTTCAAGGCTGATTAAATAAAGGGAAGTATTTAGGTGGCTCTTGAGCTGGGTGTTGAGAGAGTTGCTGAAATTGGACTATGATCGCTCAGGGGTGCTGCAGTTTACCAAGATGATGTAAAAAGTTGTGAGGGAATGCTTGCTGTAGCTCTCTTTCAGACACTCATGTCCAGAAACTCCTTGCTAAGTTCTTGTTTGTAGTGCTTGTTTTTGTTTTCAGGCTGTGTTACTGGGATTTCTCCTTGGATAAAGCTGACTGGAAAAAGTTTAATCCAGATTCCTTTTATATAAGAATTTATGCGATTTCTAAGTAAAGTCTTTGTAGCTGCACAGTTTTGTTTGTGCTTTATCTGCTTTAGAGGCACCTAGACTCTACAGTTAAGATATCATACTGAAGGCAGAGTTGATACAGTGATTCACATACAGAATTTTCCAAAGAAAAATGTAACTTTTGTGGTAAAAGTGATTAAGTATTTTTCTGGATAGGAGGGAAAAAAAACAAAAATTCCCCTGAAGGATGCAATTTATCAGAAGATGGGCTGCCTTGTTAGATGTTGAAAGAGCTCTTTATTACCTTTAAGAGAAATAATTTGATAAATCTTTTTATTTGCAGCATATGGAAGCATACTGAAAGAGGAAATGGGTCTGCTCTTGTCCTAAAATCAATTTCTTTTCAAACCTGTCATTACCTTAAAATTGCATCCTTTGAGATCCTGAACAGTTCTGTAACATGCATAGAAATATCAAGAGGTTCATTGCTTGTGAGGTTGCTAACTGAAGTTCAAGTGGCATGTTTGCATTGCTTGAGCTTTCTAGGTTTGAATTCATCTTTCAGTACACAGTCTAAGAGAAGTGTTATCTTTTCTAATTACATCTCAGGCAGACTTGTATTATTTATATCTATACTAACAAATAGTACTTTTTCCCTCAGGATATTGATTGAGTAAAAGCAAAAAAACCCCAAAAAACCCAAAGCAACCCTTGTTAGTAACAGACATGAAGATTATTATGGACAGCCAAGACTAAATTTTCTGTACCACTTACAAAGGTGATTTGAATTGGTGTTTTAAATTTTCAGCTATTATAAGTTTCCATTATTCCAAGTAAATTCAATGGAGAAATGCTGAAAGATGCCAGATCTTCAGTTGTTACCTGTCAGGCTTTTAGCACAGAGGAAAAAGGTAAATAGTGTGACATTTTGGAGATACAGTTCATTATAGACCTTGGAGTCTGAAGAGTTAAACTTGAGAGAGGGAGGAGGTTTAGGTTAGATATTAGAAAACACTTCCTCGAAGAGGGGGTGATTACACATTGGAATGGACTTCCCAGGGAAGTGGTGGAGGCATCATCCCTGAATGTGTTCAAGGAAAGGCTGGATGTGGCACTTGGTGCCATGGTCTAGCCGATGTGGTGGTGTTGGTCATTGACTGGACTTGATGCTCTTAAAGGTCTTTTCCAGCCTCGGTGATTTTGTGAAGGTAGATTTAAATTAGACATTGGGAAAAAATTCTTCAGTGTCAGTGTGCTGAGACACTGGAACAGGTTGCCCAGAAAAGTTGTGGATGCCCCATCCCTGGAAATGTTCAAGGCCAGGTTGGATGGGGTTTCAAGCAACCTGGGCAGTGGAAAGTGTCCCTGCCCATGCAGAGGTGTTGGATCTAGATGATCTTTAAGGTCCTTTCCAACCCAAACCGTTTTGTGATTCTATGATACCAATAAAAAATCTATACCAGATCCTGCTTTTCAAGTTATTTGTGTTGAAAAGCTGTTCTAAATCAAAATACCTTGTTTTGCTTTCTGAACCACCATCTCTGAAGTGCTCTGGTATCAGAAAGGAGCTCTTCTTTTTGTTCTTGTCTTTTACCTCATCCTAAGCTCTTAACTTCTCCTTCCATCTTCGTTTCTGACCTTTCATGGGTTCCACTGCCTTATGGCAAACATAAGGATGGAGGCAAGCCCATTCTGATAAAAAAAACTGTTGACCCTAATAACTAAAAAAGGTGCTTATGAAAGACTTCAAATAAACTAGCCTGTTTATTATTTAAGACTTCCTCAATTTACCTTAAGTAAGTTGTCTGGTTTTTGCTCCTTTCTAATACTTAGGCTCATGAGTAACACACAAAGATGACATGTCTTTTTTTTTTTTTTTTTTTTTTTCCATCCATGTGTTTAGTTTAATGGCTGTCATATAAAATATTTATTACTATTTTCGGGAAAGAAAACATATTATCCAAAGTACTGCAGTGTAATAGCTGTTAGTTAAACTGGTAAAACTTAAAGTCAGAAGTCAAATGCAGTTTTGAAGATGGAATATTCTTGTTTTTTCAGGATGCTTGCCAGTCTTATCCTTCTGAGATTCTTACAGTAGGTTTCTTGATAAACTGATTTTGTGAATGTCTGAATTTACTTTATTGACCTAATCAGGCATGTTTTTCTCTTAGCTGGAAGTGCAGTCATACTTGAAGAAAGAATATCCTGCTGTGGAGTTAGTGTGTGTGCATGTACGCACACATACATGTGTTTATATATATGAGTAAACACCCAGCTAGCTATGTTTTAGGAGTAAGAATTTTTAGCATTTTTGAAAGGAAAGCATATAGTTACTGTGCATATCCATACACTGGCCCCTTAGTTTGAATAATGAATGAAAAAGTGGAAAGTATAAGTTAGTTTTCAGATCTTCCTTCTCTAAGCTTCTTCTATTATTTTCAGTTTGAAAGTCATCTGAGAGGTAGAGTGAAAATACTTTTGACTTTATGGCAGCAGCAAGTATAATTGTGGTTCATGAAACTTCTGGCTAAAGTTAGAAGAAATCAAGCTGCTTTGGTCTATAAGAATGGCAGTTTGTTTTTGTGAGATGCCAGCAAAGACTTTTGGGGAAGCTAACATACTGTTTTTTAACATGATGCAACCTAAACCAAGCCATATACTGTAAAATTGCCCCACAGCTGAGTAGAAGGCAGGA